GGATGACTGCGTTAAGCCCGGCCCTTCCACACAACCTGTTCTTAAACTGAACACTGATTTTCTATCTTTCTGTGTTGAATGTCTGCCTCCTCCCATCTTTGTATTCACCACCCCACCACACACAAAATACATTATTTTCAGAGTTCAGATGAATTAGGAGAACACTCACAAATTCTGTAGCAATAGTAAGTTCTAAGCAACAGCGGGTTTTTGATAAGACACTTTGACCGTTTCCCATGCTTCAATTTTTCAAAAGTCAGAGTTCATTCCGTAGCTTGTCATACAGTTAGAGAATTATGAGAGCCTCCCCGGATTCACAGTGTATTTTTTCTTTCTTTTTAAAGTGTCTTTCTTAATAGATCCAAGCATTAATAAATGTTACCCATTACTTAATAATATCTAAATTTCAAATTCTAGTCCCCACTTTACAAGTAGATAAATGGACACAAAGAGAAGTGATTTGCCTGTGGTCAGTCAGGAATAAAATCTAAATCTCTTAGCTCCTAATTTACTGGTTTATACACTAAATTACCCTGCCTCTTCAAGCCCTCTGGGAACATAATCCTGGAACGCTGCATAAGCAAAATGGGGCCAAAATTGCACTCTCACCAGAGAAATTAATTGGATAATTAATCAAGTGTGGAAATAACATTAGAATATTCTGTACAATTGATCAAGGACTTTCAAATAATTCTATTATAAAAAACATCCCTTCAGGCAAAATAAATAAGATTGAAATTCAGCATGACAGATTTACAAGTTTAAACTAGCTTAAATTAAGGACTACAATTTTAGCTATAAAGCAAATATCATGTTTCCCGGAGGAGCTTAAGACAACTGAATTAAAGGTGTTCAATTATCTTAGCAGTGCGATTTTTAAAGAGAAACCAACCTTAATAAGTCTCATTAAAAGGAGCATCTCTGAAGTGGTAAGGCAAATGTAACAAAATGCTATTTGTGGATTCCAGGTGGTAGATGGCCATGTTACAATTCTTGCAACAATTCTGCATGTATGGAAAATTTCATAATAAAGTGCTGGGGGAAAAAAGCAAAATAAAAGTAACATTTATTTCTTATCACCGAGAACTCACATGACAAATAACCTGCCAAAAAGTGGTGCACCTCAACCAGTATTTTCACTAAATGTCCATTGTTAATATTTGAGTGTGTGCTGTGTGCCAGGCACTGTGCTAAGTCTGGGGTTTCAGCTATGGACAGAACCTTGCCCCTGCCGCTCAGTTGATGTTCCCCTCAGGGCCACTGATAGCATCTCTTCCTTGGAATACAGAAATCCATCTGCCCTTCTTCCCATTGGCATTCTATTTAGCTTTTATCCTGAAATCTATCTGGGAGAAAGCTGGGATAAATGCAATTCATCAGCAGAGACAGGGAAGCTCTATCAAGAGGAGGTTCTCCCTTTGAGAGACCGCATCTTAGCGAAGCAACTGGGCATCTCCTTGCAGGTATTTGCCTTTGACTAAAAGTGAGGGCTGTGATTGAACATCATGATCTGCAGAGATGCATCTGATTTGATTTCATCAGATCACCTTTTTGGATACTAGGAATTTGGAAGTGCCAACTCCATTCTAGACTCTACAATAGCGACTGTGAAACTAACTACAGCTTATCATATATATGCACCCGGGAATTTTTAAAAAATGTATTTCAAAGGAAAAACACAAATGACTATTGTCCATTTTTCATTTCCTCAAGGCACTGCACTGCTTAGGTTCTATGGAACTAGGCATCACAAAAACACCTGATGGTATTTCTCATAAAACCGTGAGTAGAATTTAACTGAGGCAAAACAAGAACAGCAGTAACTGAATTAAGGAAAGCTATTTCAAAGCCTTAAGTTAGAAAAACCTCTCTAATAATTAAAAATGTTTTCTGGTCACCAGAGACTTGAGGATTCCCTGGATAAAGGAATGACAAGCAACTGCTCCTTTTTGGTGAGAATGTACTCTAACTGCATGCATAATTCATAAACATGCTCTTAGTTTACCTAAGACTTATGGTATAAAAACAGCAATGGGGGACAATTTTATAATTTTATACCTGCCACAAAAACTAAATGCTAGAGATCATTCAACATCTCTGTTAGTCCATCTTTAGGGGAAAAAACCCTCAATTTTCATCCTATTTCACTTTTTTCTATTTTTATTCCCCCCAATAAAAGTTTAATCATTTTGTAGTACAGCCAGAAACTGTCATTGCTGCAACCGCTAACGGACAGTAAAAAACTACCAAACTACCACAACATCCTGACTTTGTTTTCCAATAACAAAGGGTATGACCTGCAGCAAGTTTCATCCAACACTGGGTTGGACACCTCTGGGAAAAGAAAAAAACAATTTATTTTTAATTTAACAATGTCTAAAAGCAATGTCCAAAGATAAATGTTAAAAGGTTAATAAAACATAAATACACAGCTCAAATACTTGTTAGCCAACTGGGTGAAACCAGCATGTTTCAGAGTGAGGCAGGAGGTTTGAAAAATGAACGGAAGAGAGCCACTTTCCAGCTAAGAGTGGATTCTGAGTTGAAGTCACCAAAAGTTTATATATGGAGAGTTTGACCATTACTTTTACTCTATATTCACAATGAACGACCAGTATAAAATAAGTGGCAGGTTTATTACAAAATGCCAAATGTTGGGGGTTAAAAAAAATTGTTCAAATTAAAAGGAGACCCTAAATTGATACTAAATTGAAGTATTATGTCAGCAAAAAAAATAAAGCAATTTTTCTACTGGCAAAATCCTCTTGTAGATATTGCCAACTTTCTGCTGGTTAGCACTTCATTTCTTAAAACAGAATTTTATGGTTGGCATGGACCTTAGAAATAGCTAAGTCAACTCCTTCAGGGAAACCTGAAGCTAAAAGTTGAAGTGAGGCAAAAAACTGTTTTTGTTTGGATTAAGGCTCCCAAGTTAGTAGAAAAAAATAACATAACCAAAGCAGGAAATGGCTCGCCTCAGTACCTAATGCACAGCCATGCTTTTAATAGAAATTTGACCAGGAAGCTTTTAAATGCTATTTCCTTCTCTGTGAGGGTTGAATGTTTTGTGGCAACATTTTTTTCTCCGAGAAAAGGACATGTTTACTGTAAAAAAATATAAAACATGTAAGAAAGCACAAAGAAGAAAATAAGTCATCAAAAAGAGTTTAGTATATTTCCTCCAGGCTTTTTTGTTTCTATACAAGAGTAACTGCCATTTATTTTTCACATGGAACTGGACAGCAATTTATTTCTGGAAAACCATCACAGGAACAGCAGCGGTGCCGGGCTCCTCACCTAGAGGGCCGTGCCGCAGTGATCCTCGGGAGCTGGCTGCAGAGCTCAGGGGCCACGGAGCACAAACTGTCAGCAAGCCAACTGTGAGCTAGCGACGGGCAGCTGCCGCTGATGGTGGCACTGGGAACAGGGTCCCTGTATGACCTTTTCTTTCCCCCACTTTACAGAATAAACCCACCAGAGCAGGAGCCTGGATGTGGGGTGGGTAAGGAGAGTAGACAGAAAAGTAAAGGGAAAGGTCAGAGTGGCACTTGCTGGGTCTGCCCGGAACCGAGACCATTCCTTTGCACGGTCTCTTGGCTTCCTCTTGAAATGAAGGCTGATCTTGAACACCGGCCAGGGGCTCTGATTTGGCCTCTCTGGAGTTGCAGGACTACCTCAGACAACTTTAAACAATCTTGTGTAAACAGCATGGTGTAGGGGTCCTCTCAGATTCTTCATAAGAGCCTGTACTAGTTGTGGGACTCCCTGAGAACTACATTTCACCATAATCTTTAGTATCTAAGGCTTTTAACAAGTATCTAGTGGCACAAAACCCATCCCTCCCTGTTAGGAACAACTGACCACTTCAACACATTCCACGTGATCCTCCTCAGGTATGAACTGTGGGACTAAAGCCACCCGCTCCAGCCAAGTCCTGATATAATCACTATGACTTCCAACCTTGGTTTGGTGACCTCTCAGGTACACCGATGATCTCCCAAGTATTAAGAAATTCTGCATTTAGGACAGCAATTTTCTTCCATTAATTGAACTAAACCAGAAGGTGTTCAAAAGAGCTGAAAATTTCTGGCTCAAATAGCTTTTCTCACCACCAATGAGCTGCCCTATTGGTTGACTAGTTGAGCCATTTAAAATTTTTGTTGGTGATTATGTGTGTGCATCTCCTTGTCCTACAACCATTAGGCAACAGAGAACATAGGTAGGGCTGTGGAATTCACTCTGCCTGGAACAGACAAAAGGGATTTATAGCATAACACCCAGCAGCTGGTTTCCACATGGTTCTCAGAGTTCTAAACTCTGGACAAGATGCTACTTTGTAGCCTCAAGTAAATAAGCAAGGTACAATGAAACAAGAATTATTCAACAAACAACATATCCACACTTAGTAAGCTTATATTTAGGGTTTAAACTAGTCCCTGAATATCCTTAAAAACACCCTGCAGGCGGAAAAAACAGGGTTAATGAGAACTTAAACTTTCCAAGGATTATGGTTCAAATCCTCTGAAATCTACAGGAGTTCAAATAAAATGAGAACTCAAGAATAATAATTATTCTCGCTGGCACCAGCGCGAGGCGGTAGTGATTCTCAAGCTTAATATATTGCATCTAACACTATAAGAATATGTGGAAATTTTATGGAACGTCCATTATTATTAAAAGGTTTGAGCTTTACTACTCCTAACCTGGGTTTGACAATAAACCCCCCTGGAGCAAGAGCCCATGAAAATAAAACAGAGAGATATCCTACTAGACAAACAACTGCTGCCATAGGCCACAGGCACTTTGAGTGTAACCATTTTTAAAAGGCAGGGAACACGTACATTCCTGAGAAAACTGCTTCAGATATTTTTTTTTTTTTTTTTTTTTGCGATAACGCGGGCCTCTCACTGTTGTGGCCTCTCCCGTTGCGGAGCACAGGCTCCGGACGCGCAGGCTCAGCGGCCATGGCTCACGGGCCTAGCTGCTCTGTGGCATGTGGGATCTTCCCGGACCGGGGCACGAACCCGTGTCCCCTGCATCGGCAGGTGGACTCTCAACCACTGCGCCACCGGGGAAGCCCTGCTTCAGATATTTTTAACAGGAAAGTGGCAAGTGACCTCTCTAACCACATTCACTGGTGGGTATACCTTCCCCATTGCTTTTTTTGTTTGTATGTTATTGAAAACAGGGCAAGTTTTCTCCAAATGTTTTTTCTGTTGTTTTGTTTCTTAAACAAATGAGGGGATGCTATATCCCCAAGTCAGTACTTCGTGGTTGAAAACCCTCCCTCCGAAGACTGCCCATGTCAAAGCGGGTGGAGACCTCACAGCGTACTAATAACGTGTCGTCCTTGATGAAGGTTCTTTGTCTTAGGGCTTCCAGATGCATAAAGGTCACATAGCCAAACCCTTTGGGGTTCCGTGGGATTGTGGGTCTCTGGAAGGCAAGCAGCTCTGGTTTGGCGTCCATTATCTCTTCATGGTTTTGCCTTACAGGTGCTTCAGACTGATCAAGGATGGTAAGGCGTATCGTACCCTGGAAGGGCCAAGGGAGGTGGCTGTCATACTCTCCTTGCATCGTGTGGACAAAGAGGGATATGTAGTTGGCACAGCGCTGTGCAGTCGGTAGCTGCAGGTGCAGGCGCATGCATAGTTTGTAGCCGGGTTTGCCTGTGTAGAATCCGGGGCTGTGAATGACAACAGGTTTCTCCTCTTCTTGAGATTTCAAGTGCATCCCAAAATTGCCAATCTTCCAGATGTAAATTCCATTGCACTGCTGTGCTTCTATTTCAGCAACTTTGTCCTCAAGGGTTCGAATAGTTCGTTTTAGCTCACTTACATACGCGCTCTGAGTTTCCATTTTTGCAGTCAGCTCCCGGATTTGATGGTCTTGTCTTACAAGGCGACCCTCTAACTGTTGAATGGTTTCTTGGAAATTCTGGACCTCTGAGTGACACCCAGAGGAAATCCGGGGCAGAGAGGCAGAATCACATGGCAGCATGCCACGCTGAGGTGCGGGAGCTATCGCAAGGCTTAAAGTCTGAACAGCCTGGGCCATCATTCTCATGTGCGACTGGGTATCCTCTTGCAGGTGGCGTGCCAAGTGATTCCTCTGCATCTGAAAATCATGCACAGGCCTTAGGTTAGGAACAGAGACGTGAGCACCAGGAAAGGGACCTAGCCAAGCCAAATAAAAGGTTTTTAAGCCATGTCATCACTTCCCTCAATCCCCTACAATCTTCTTTGATTTCATCAGATTCTCGATCCAGTAAGATGATCTTGCCTCCTAATTCCCTGAAAAACCGAGAGGCTATCTGCTGAATAATCGTTCAGGGACTCAGAAAAAAACCTCCCTCCTACCTGTAAAAGTATCAGGATCTATACTCATCCTTCTTTTCTGATTCAGAGCTGACTCTCCTCTTGTCCTAGATTAATGCTTCACCTGGGCTCTAACTGGCACCTGCCCCTTTTCAACACCTCAGAGATTCTGCTTAGCTACCCCCTTTCTCCTTTATTTTCAAACATTCTCTCCTCTTAACCCTTCCCCTCAGAACAGAATTAGTAAAGTCTTTCCTGTTTAAAAAAAGGGGCAAACCTCTCTATTGATCTTGTATCTCCCTCTAGCTAGTATCATTTTCTCCCTTCTCCTTTTATAACCAAGAGGAGTCCACCTGCACTGCCTGCCCCCAATCCCTCACTTATTTTTACAAATCTGTTGCAAAGTGGAATCTTCCCTGTCTTCATACTCTTCTAAGATCATCAAGAATAGCCTGTTATATGAAAAAAAAATCATATAACAATTTTATTGTAAGGGTAATTCATGTATATTACAGAAAAATAGGAAGTGTAGATGATCAAAAAGAAAATAAGTTACCTATTATCTCACCTAACTACCATTAACATTTTGATACATTTCCTTTAAGTCTTTGTCTCTACGCACACAAACAATACAGAATTTTCTCACAAAGTGTAACCATACTATACACTATTTGATCATTTTATTTTTTTAATTATTAAACACATACTTACTGTAAAAAAGTCAGATAAAAAGGCACAGTGGAAAAGCCGAAGTGTAATCGCACTCTCCAGAAAGATCAATTTATCATAAACAATGCTCCCTCTCCGACATTTGACACAACTGATCGCTAAGTCTTGAAACTAATTTTGGAGATCATAACAATAACTTCTCCTTGCCTGTTTCATCAACGTCTGAGACTGTTCATTCATGGCTCCTTTCCTGTTCTACTTCTCTTTCCTGTACACTCTATATGATCCCAATCACACCTCCCATTATCATCACCAACTATCTCTCAAAATTAATATTCTGAGTCCCAATTTCTTGGAGCTTAAGACCACATAAACAATGTGTGTTGGCCATCTCCAATCCACTGGTATCCTCCACTACACTATATAACTTAATTTTCTTGATCTATATTCAAGAATTAAAAGGGAAAAAAAAAAAACCTTACCTTTTCATGGCAACCAAAAGTACTGAATGTGCATGGAACTGGGGCTGTAGGACAGTCTAGATCATAATGATTAGGCATCTGAAAACCAAAACAAAGGTTGAAAAATATTTTACCCTGCGTATCATAGTCTAGTTTGACAAGATCATACTTGAAATGAAGAGTTACACTTCATCTAAACAAAATCATATACTGTTAGTGGCTGACTTTGTTACAATGGCTGAGTGAATAGTTGCAACAGAAACCAGTTAGCCCACAAAGATTAAAATGATATTTACGGACATCCTCCAGCTGGATTTTAGCTTGGACAAACCACTCTCCCTGCCCCACTGTTGGTCCACCACTGGAAAGAATAATTAGGAACAATAAGATGTCACTGAAATATCTGTAGCTGATGAGATGATCAGATTGGCATTTGAAAAAGCCTGATTCAGTGTAAAATGATTGTGAGAGGATCAGCTTGGTACCTGGGAGAACAGCTCTGTGACTGGTAGGGTCTTGGTGCTCGGGTGGGTGTCAGGCCTGTGTCTCTGAGGTGGCAGAGCCAAGTTCAGGACACTGGTCCACCAGAGACCTCCTGGCTCCATGTCACATCAAATGGCGAAAGCTCTCCCAGGGATCTCCATCTCAATGCTAAGACCCAGCTCCACTCAATGACCAGCAAGCTACAGTGCTGGACACCCCATGCCAAACAACTAGCAAGACAGGAACACAACCCCACCCATTAGCAGAGAGGCTGCCTAAAATCATAATAAGGTCACAGGCACCCCAAAACACACCCCCAGATGCGGTCCTGCCCACCAGAAAGACAAGATCTAGCCTCATCCACCAGAACACAGGCACCAGTCCCCTCCACCAGGAAGCCTACACAACCCACTGAACCAAGTTTAGCCACTGTGGACAGACACCAAAAACAACGGGAACTACAAACCTGCAGCCTTCAAAAAGGAGACCCCAAACACAGTTAGTTAAGCAAAATGAGAAGACAGAGAAACACACAGCAGATGAAGGAGCAAGGTAAAAACCCACCAGACCAAACAAATGAAGAGGAAACAGGCAGTCTACCTGAAAAAGAATTCAGAGTAATGATAATAAAGATGATCCAAAATCTTAGAGATAGAATGGAGAAAATACAAGAAACGGTTAACAAAGACCTAGAAGAACTAAAGAGCAAACAAACAATGATAAACAACACAATAAATGAAATTAAAAATTCTCTAGAAGGAATCAATAGCAGAATAATTGAGGCAGAAGAACGGATAAGTGACCTGGAAGACAAAATAGTGGAAATAACTACTGCAGATCAGAATAAAGAAAAAAGAATGAAAAGAATTGAGGACGGTCTTAGAGACCTCTGGGACAATATTAAACACACCAACATTCGAATTACAGGGGTCCCAGAAGTAGAGAAAGAGACAGGGACTGAGAAGATATTTGAAGAGATTATAATTGAAAACTTTCCTAATATGGGAAAGGAAATAGTTAATCAAGTCCAGGAAGAGCAGAGAGTCCCATACAGGACAAATCCAAGGAGAAACACGCCAAGACACATATTCATCAAACTATCAAAAATTAAATACAAAGAAAAAATATTAAAAGCAGCAAGGGAAAAACAACAAATAACATACAAGGGAATCCCCATAAGGTTAACAGCTGATCTTTCAGCAGAAACACTGCAAGCCAGAAGGAAGTGGCAGGACATATTTGAAGTGCTGAAAGGGAAAAACCTACAAACAAGATTACTCTACCCAGCAAGGATCTCATTCAGATTCGACAGAAATATTAAAACCTTTACAGACTAGCAAAAGCTAAGAGAATTCAGCACCACCAAACCAGCTTTACAACAAATGTTAAAGGAACTTCTCTAGGCAGGAAACACAAGAGAAGGAAAAGACCTACAATAACAAACCCAAAACAATTAAGAAAATGGTAATAGGACCATACATATCGATAACTACCTTAAATGTAAATGGACTGAATACTCCAACCAAAAGACGAAGACTGGCTGAATGGATACAAAAAGAAGACCCGTATATATGCTGTCTACAAGAGACCCACTTCAGACCTAGGGACACATACAGACTGAAAGTGAGGGAAGGGAAAAAGATATTCCATGCAAATGGAAATCAAAAGAAAGCTGGAGCAGCAATTCTCGTATCAGACAAAATAGACTTTAAAATAAAGACTGTTACGAGAGACAAAGAAGGACACTACATAAGGATCAAGGTATCAATCCAAGAAGAAGATATAACAACTGTAAATATTTATGCACCCAATACAGGAGCACCTCAATACATAAGGCAAATGCTAAGAGCCATTAAAGAGGAAACTGGCAGTAACACAATCATAGAAGGGGACTTTAACACCCCACTTTCACCAATGGACAGATCATCCAAAATGAAAATAAATAAGGAAACACAAGCTTTAAATGACACATTAAACAAGATGGACTTAATTGATATTTATAGGACATTCCATTCAAAGACAACAGAATGCACTTTCTTCTCAAGTGCTCATGGAACATTCTCCAGGATAGATCATTATCTTGGGTCACAAATCAAGCCTTGGTAAATTTAAGAAAATTGAAATCATATCAAGTATCTTTTCGGACCACAGCACTATAAGACTAGATATCAATTACAGGAAAAAAATCTGTAAAAAATACAAACACATGGAGGCTAAACAATACACTACTTAATAACCAACCAATCACTAAAGAAATCAAAGAGGAAATCAAAAAATACCTAGAATCAAACGACAATGAAAACACGATGACCCAAAACCTATGGGATGAAGCAAAAGCAATTCTGAGAGGGAAGTTTATAACAATACAATCCTTCCTCAAGAAACATCTCAAATAAACAACCTAAACTTACATCTAAAGCAATTAAAGAAAGAAGAACAAAAAAACCCCAAAGTCAGCAGAAGGAAAGAAATCATAAAGATCAGACCAGAAATAAATGAAAAAGAAATGAAGGAAACAATAGCAAAGATCAATAAAACTAAAAGCTGGTTCTTTGAGAAAATAAACGAAATTGATAAACCATTAGCCAGACTCATCAAGAAAAAAAGGGAGAAGACTCAAATCAATAGAATTAGAAATGAAAAAGAAATAACAGCTGACACTGTAGAAATACAAAGGATCATGAGAGATTACTACAAGCAACTATATGCCAATAAAATGGACAACCTGGAAGAAATGGACAAATTCTTAGAAAAGCACAACCTTCCGAGACTGAACCACGAAGAAATAGAAATTATAAACAGACCAATCACAAGCACTGAAATTGAGACTGTGATTAAAACTCTTCCAACAAACAAAAGCCCAGGACCAGATGGCTTCACAGGTAAATTCTATCAATTTAGAGAAGAGCTAACACCTATCCTTCTCAAACTCTTCCAAAATATAGCAGAGGGAGGAACACTCCCAAACTCATTCTATGAGGCCACCATCACCCTGATACCAAAACCAGACAAAGATGTCACAAAGAAAGAAAACTACAGGCCAATATCACTGATGAACATAGATGCAAAAATCCTCAACAAAATACTAGCAAACAGAATCCAACAGCACATTAAAAGGACATACACCATGATCAAGTGGAGTTTATCCCAGGAATGCAAGGATTCTTCAGTATACACAAGTCAATCAATGTGATAAACCATATCAACAAACTGAAGGATAAAAACCATATAATCATTTCAATAGATGCAGAAGAAGCTTGTGACAAAATTCAACACCCATTATGACAAAAACCCTCCAGAAAGTAGGCATAGAGGGAACCTACCTCAACACTATAAAGACCATATATGACAAACCCACAGCCAACATCATTCTCGATGGGGAAAAACTGAAACCACCCCCTCTAGGATCCAGAACAAGACAAGGTTGTCCATTCTCACCACTATTATTCAACATAGTTATGGAAGTTTTAGCCACAGCAATCAGAAAAGAAAAAGAAATAAGAGGAATCCAAATCAGAAAAGAAGTAAAGCTGTCACTGTTTGCAGATGACATGATACTATACATAGAGAATCCTAAAGATCCCACCAAAAAACTACTAGAGCTAATTCAATGAATTTGGTAAAGTAGCGGGACACAAAATTAATGCACAGAAATCTCTTGCATTCCTATACACTAATGATGAAAAATCTGCAAGAGAAATTAAGGAAACACTCCCATTTACCACTGCAACAAAAAGAATAAAATACCTAGGAATAAAGCTACCTAAGGAGACAGAAGACCTGTATGCAGTAAACTGTAAGACACTAATGAAAGAAATTAAAAATGATGCAAACAGATGAAGAGATATACCATGTTCTTGGATTGGAAGAATCAACATTGTGAAAATGACTCTACTACCCAAAGCAATCTACAGATTCAATGCAATCCCTATCAAACTACCAATGGCATTTTCCACAGAACTAGAACAAAAATTTTCACAATTTGTATGGATACACTAAAGACCCCAAAGAGCCAAAGTAATCTTGAGAAAGAGAATCAGAGCTAGAGGAATCAGGTTCCCTGACTTCAAACTATACTACAAAGCTACAGTAATCAAGACAGTATGGTACTGGCACAAAAACAGAAATATACACCAGTGGAACAGGATCAAAAGCCCAGAGATAAACCCACGCACACATGGTCACCTTATTTTTGATAAAGGAGGCAAGAATACACAACGGAGAAAAAACAGCCTATTCAGTAAGTGGTATTGGGAAAACTGGACAGCTATATGTAAAAGAATGAAATTAGAACACTCCCTAACGCCATACACAAAAATAAACTCAAAATGGATTAAAGACCTAAATGTAAGGCCAGACACTATAAAACTCTTAGAGGAAAACATAGGAAGAACACTCTATGACATAAATCACAGCAAGATCCTTCTTGACCACCTCCTAGCGAAATGGAAATAAAAAGAAAAATAAACAAATGGGATCTAATGAAACTTAAAAGCTTTTGCACAGCAAAGGAAACCATAAACAAGATGAAAAGACAACCCTCAGAATGGGAGAAAATATTTGCAAATGAAGCAACTGACAGAGGATTAATCTCCAAAATTTACAAGCAGCTCATGCAGCTCAATATCAAAGAAACAAACAACCCAATCCAAAAATGGGCCGAAGACCTAAATAGACATTTCTCCAAAGAAGATATACAGATTGCCAACACATGAAAGTATGCTCAACATCACTAATCATTAGAGAAATGCAAATCAAAACTACAATGAAGTATCACCTCACACCTGTCAGAATGGCCATCATCAAAAAATCTGGAAACGATAAATGCTGGAGAGGGTGTGGAGAAAAGGGAACTCTCTTGCACTGTTGGTGGGAATGTAAATTGATACAGCCACTATGGAGAACAGTATGGAGGTTCCTTAAAAAACTAAAAATAGAACTACCATACGACCCAGCAATCCCACTACTGGGCATATATCCTCAGAAAACCATAATTCAGAAAGACGCATGTATCACAATGTTCACTGCAGCTCTATTTACAATAGCCAGGATGTGGAAGCTACCTGTGTCCATTGACAGATGAATGGATAAAGAAGATGTGGCACATATATACAATGGAATATTACTCAGCCATAAAAAGAAACAAAATTATTTGTAGTGAGGTTGATGGACCTAGAGTCTGTCATACAGAGTGAAGTCAGAAAGTGAAAAACAAATACTGTATGCTAACACATATACACGGAATTAAAAAAAAAAAGGTTCTGAAGAACCTAGGGGCAGGACAGGAATAAAGATGCAGACAGAGAATGGACTTGAGCACACGGGAGGGGGAAGAGAAAGCTGGGACAAAATGAGAGTAGCATTGATGTATACACACTACCAAATGTAAAATAGATAGCTAGTGGGAAGCAGCTGCATAGCACAGGGAGATGAGCTTGCTGCTTTGTGACCACCTAGAGGAGTGGGATAGGGAGGGTGGGAGGGAGACGCAAGAGGGAGGAGATATGGGGATATACGTATATGTGTAGCTGATTCACTTTGTTACAAAGCAGAAACTAACACACCATTGTAAAGCAATTATACTCCAATAAAGATGTTAAAAAGGAAAAAAAAAAAGAGCAGCTTCCAAGATCACTAGAGTCTGGTGGGTCTAGGAACATGAGCCCTGTTGGTTTTCAGAGTCAGATATTTGGGGAGCTCATCTCTCCAGTGTATGTCTTAAAAGTTGAAATGCCTGAGGAGTGGGTTTGGACCCTTCAGTCCTCAGGGAGAAGCTCCAGGGTTTGAGTTCCCTCCTGCTTGTGGGTATATGGTGAGATTGTTTCCTAGCCTTTCCTACCCACTTTGATGTGATTTTCTTCTCATTTGCCTAATGTGTAGTCATTACTCAGCCAGCCTTTTAGGTTTTTATAAGAGGAAGTTGTTCCATGTGTAGCTGTAGACTCTTGGGAGGAGGTGAATTCACAGGCATCATATTGAGTTGGCCAAAAAGTTCGTTCGGGTTTTTCTGAACATTTTATGGAAAACCCGAACGAACTTTTTGGCCAATCCAATACATAGCTGTCTTGAACAGGAACTGCAATATGATGTTCTTAACCAATTTTTTCTTCATTTTCAAATTAACTCCAGGTATCTAAGGGCCTCTTCAAAGCAATACCTGGCTGGATTTAGATTGGCTAGTGCATATATATAAAAGTTGTTTTGCAGCTCTGTTAAGCTTATTTTATAATTGAGACTTAGCTGATTTAGACTGGCTTTGCATCAACATAAAATGTATTTTATCAACTTAAAAAATGATATTTACTTCCAAAAGTCACAAAGGAAGGAAATATCAACGTCTCATACCATGCCCCCAAATCACTCAAAATTCATTTCAAGAAAATGAATTTATTCCTATTGCCAGGGAACTGGCACCCTCTAGCGGCATTATAAAGAAAAAGTACCTTCTGATGTCAACCATGACCCAACTAAGACTCTCACTGTGGTCCAGGCCACTGAATCCCTACTCAATAAACTATATACGTTAGAGCCACTGACTGCACCCTGTCTTTCCCTCATGACCACCTTTCATAAATCTTCTTACTTTTTGTTAACCTGCGCATGCTTTGACTACAATGGGGAGACTCAGATGTTAGAAGATATTTTAAGCACTTTAATAAAAGTTTTAAAGAAAGTCTCAGGCTTTGATTTGGGGACTCTAAATTCTTTAAGGTAAGATCCATTATGTAGAATCATGTTCTTTGAAAGTGGTACTAAATTTCCTTTAGAAATTTAGTTTAGCTGTAATCATAGATATTTCAAGCAGAAACAACATCAGAGACCATTTAATCCAGTCCTTCATTTCGCATAATCTAGGTGGTCAATAAAATTTTTTGTGAAGGGTCATATAGTAAATATTTTCAGCCTTGTAAGCCCTATGGAGTCTGTCCCAAGTACTCAGCTCTACCATTGTGGCACAAAACCAGCCACATACAACACATGGGCATGGCTGTGTTCCAATAAAACTTATTTTAAAAAGCAGGCAGCAGCCAGATTTGGCTGGTGGGCTGGTTTGCTGATCCCTGATCTAGAATGTCCACTTTCTTGTCAGAGATCAGTGGGCAAGTAGTGGCACAGTCAGGGTTAAAATCTAGGTTTTTCTGACTCTAAACCTAGGGTTTTTTCCTACATTAAGTTTTACTTTTGCTGGATTTTAGATGTGCTGTGTGGTTTCCTTTAAGTATTAAAACAGAGCAAAAAGCAAAACCCGGGAGATGAGACTTCACAAGCAAAAAGTTACTTACACCTTCAAATTAAGGCCCTGTTGGAAAAAAAACCTAAAGGACTCTTAACAAATGAATGGAAAAGTTTAGTTGAGGGACAGGTTTTGCTTGTTCCTACTTAGTAAGGTAATCAATTATGATCTCCGGGTTTGCAGATTTCATGAGTGTATAAATATTTAGTGACTAATATTCATATTTTGTGGGTAAACCCTCCAAATGTCAGAAGATAGCAATCAGATGGAATTTTCCTTTCTCTATTAATAAAAAAAATGAATAGTTTTCTAATATAACTACTACTTCTGATGATGCCCCATCAGTGGTCTACAGGCAACTGAACAGAGGGGCTACAGATCCTGGAAATCTCAAAATCTCCCAACATGCCTCGGGGACATGGCTACAAATAACATCCTGCTACTGAATAGACTTGTTTCCTTCTATTTCATTGTTCTTACTTTTTCAACTGGTTTCTGGATACCTAAGATCCTTATTTCACAGAGTCTAAAGATGTATTGATATTTCTTATAAAGTTTCTGGTGTTTAAATGAGCATTTTAAATTATTTTTATCTAAAAATTACTTGGCTTTGGAACTTCTACTAATATATATAAACACAGGTATTATGTTAATGACTTAGGAATTTTAAGTACTCAGGGCTGAGTATTTTGTTCTTTCTGAAATTATTCATTATATTATTTGAAAAAATTCAGTTTTCTTAAAATTGAAATACAGATTTACAATACTGTGTTAGTTTCAAGTATATAACAAAGTGATTCAGCTATGTATATATTTATATTTTTCAGATTACTTTCCATTATAGGTTGTTACAAGGTATTGAATATAGTTCCCTACTGTGTTATGTATATCCTTGTTGCTTATCTATTTTATGTATAGTAGTTGGTATCTATTAATCTATACTAATTTATCCCTCCCCACTTCCCTTTCCCCTTTGGTAACCCTAAGTTTGTTTTCTATGTCTGTGAGTCTATTTGTTTCGTATATAAGATTCATTTGTATTTTTTAGATTCCATATATAAGTGGTAACATAAAGCAATTGTCTTTGACTTACTTCACTTAGTATAATATTCTCTAGGTCCATCCATGTTGCTGCAAATGGAAGTATTTCATTCTTTTTTATGGCTGAGTAATATTCTATTATCTATATATATCACATCTTCTTAAACCAATCGGTTGTTTCCAAGTCTTGGCTATTATAAATAATGCTGCTATAAACACTGGGGTGCATGTACCTTTTCTTTTTTCTTTTTTTTTGGCCGTGCCGCACAACCTGCAGGATCTTAGTTCCCCGACCAGGAACTGAACCTGGGCCCTCGGCAGTGAAAGCGCAGAGTCCTAACCACCAGACCGCCAGGGAATTCCCCGTGTACCTTCTCAAATTAAGAGTTTTCATCTTTTGGGGATATATGCCCATGAGTGAGATTGCTGGATCATATGGTAGTTCTACTTTTAGCTTTTTAAGGAAACTCCATACTGTTTTCCATAGTGGCTGCACCAATTTACATTCCCACCAACAGTGAAGGAGGGTTCTCTTTTCCCCACACCCTCTCCAGAATATTATTTGTAGACTTTCTGATGATAGTGTGTGAGGTGATACCTCATTGTGATTCTGATTTGCATTTAAAATTCACATAGTTTTAATTCTTCTTCAACCTGTGTTCATTTTGCCTTACTGATTTAAATTTTCAGTTAAAAACCTAATTCACTTCTTTAACCTGTTTATGGAAATACTGATTTATGAAAGGGAATCATTATACCTGTTCTCTGATGAGCATGGTGTTGCAGTATTCACAGATGACATTTGCCAAAGGACAGTTCTGGTCATGAATCTAAATTTTATTAAAGAAATATAAGAAAAAAAGTGAGAAAACCTGAAAAGGCAACACCAACCTATTTTTTTTTGATGTGTGTAAAACAAAAATGTGAGAATAATCTATAAAGGTTATTTTCTCTCCCTTTGCCAGTGTAGTAATGAGATTCATCTCACCCTCCAGCTCTTTAACAGAATATGATAGTATACAAAAGATGCATCTGTGACTGTTTGAGCATCATTTAACAACATTATAATTCTCCAAAGACACCTTTCCAAAAACTTCCAGCAGCAGCATGATTCAATTAAAACTCTTATCAGGAGGGTAAAGAACAGAAGCATGATTAGGGCAGGAGGCCCATGTTCTCAAAGGCCCCAGAAAGGTGAGCCTTGTTTTCTAGAATACAAAAAATTTAAGAAATAATTAACCCTTCTGGTTAGGTCCATTTAATTTACTGAAGTTTAAGAAGACACCAATTTGCTCTAATTATGCCTCAGACTTTTTAGCAAGTTAGCTGACATTTTTTTGAATAATTCATCAACTTAAAGAGCATAATATGCTTGATCTCACAAGAAAGTAGGGAAAATTAACAAGATAAATTTGTAAGAAATACAGTTTAAGGAAGTATCTTAATAGTTACAAAAGAACATAAATTGTATGTACTCTATTTTAGTAAAAGGGACACAGGATACGGATCCAGGATCTAGGATCTCAGTGCTAGCTTTGCCATTGATAATATTAATATAAAATTACTTAATCTCTCTACATCCCAGTTTATAAATGGGAAAAATATTCTATGATCATGACGCTGTCAAGTGCCATGCAGTTTCTTTTTAAAAATAAATGTTTTAATTGAAGTATAACGTAAGTACAGATAAGTGAATTCATCATATGTTTTGATGAATTATCACCAAAGGAACACACTTTGTAGGATTTAACTTAATCTCCTAAAAGTTTTAACCACTCATTCTCTTTTTTAAAGAGAAAAATATAAGTCTTATACAGTAATTCTTTTATTTATTTGTCTCTAATCCAAGACTGGTCATTAAAATATCACATAGGGAAACAGATCAGCATATACCTTTCCTAAAAACTTGTTACTTGTAGATCTACTACTGTAGTAAGCAGTAGAAACAATGCTTTCTCAGAAAGAGATGAAAATATAAACTCTACACTCATTTACTAGAATGGTTTATTGAACTTACTTTCTTAAAAAATCAGTCTTCTCACAACTTATAATACAGACTCAGAACTGGATTAACATCTTCATCTACTGCTAACCCCCTCCACTGTACATTAAAAAAAAATAGTAGTGGAATTAACAAATCCAAGTTAGTACATGCCTCTTTATCTTCAAATGCCATCGATACAGCACAGTTTACACAAGAAACCTGTCTCCTTGGACACTCCTTGACAATGTGAATATTAAGTTGGCATTTTTGGAAGGGACGTTGGCATTGGGGACAATTCATAAGAGCAAACTCACAATGTGCTCGATGATCCTATGATGGAAAAAAATTATCAATTAGTATTTGCCAATCCTTAAGAAATCTAAATATAATCTCTTCAAAGAATATACTGTTCTCTTCTATAGAATTGTCCACTGAACCTACTTTGTTTAGTACACACCACAGAACCACAATATGAAGGCCTTAATGGGTTTTTTCCAAAGAATGGTTGTGAATGGAAAGTTTATACAAAGGATGTGACTTTTCAGGTTCATGTATCCAATCAGGGAAGAGAGTTGGAAAGAAGTCAGATTTTCTCATTATCAATTTAGTAGTGTCGAAAGGCCGCTCCTCCAAAAGGAGCTAAGTAAAGGGGGCAAGTTACAAATATATTTTAAATGCTTAATTTCAAATGGAACATAAGCAATATTTAACTTCTTGTAAAACTACCACACTAAGGACTGATTAATTTAAAAGCAAATTATTTTATCTCGTGGATTCAGTTAATCTCAAGCTATAGGAGAACTATATTATAGTTCATAATAAAATGAATAATTTAGAAAACCAGAGAAAAAAGTATGAGGGTGCTAAGACGATGGCGCTAAGATGATGGCTACATGTGACTTGCTGCTTATTTCAAAATGAGAGAAATGAAGCTATGGAATTAAAATGTGACACTTGTATTTAAAATGCTCTTCAGTTTTATTGCAGATAATGCTCACCCAAAAAACTTATAGAATACTGATTTATTTTTTATCATCACTGGGGCAAAGCCAGAGTAGATGGAAAAAGAAATTTCTAGTTTCTACTCATATTTATACTCAATAATGAAAGGGAAAGGGTTGGTATCAATTCAGCAAGAATTTGCTAACCAATCACTATATGCTAGGCACTGGCAATATCCAGATGGACACAGCAAAGTTCCTATTCTCTAGGAACTTCCCTGCCTATATGCTAACAGCTAGAAAATAACTTTAATACCTCAAGATGCCTCAGTTCCATCTTGTGCAGACAACCTTCATTTGGACACTTCACCATCAGAGAAAGAATCTCTCGTTTTGCAAAATTGTCAGGAAATAGTTGATTTTCCAGCAGTATTTCATTGTCAACTGGACATTTGTGACCTGCATCCCTAAAAGAAACAAATAAAATACATATTATTTGGTAGATTTTAAACATTCACATTAGAAAATACACACAACTTTAATTCACCACATATAAATTCTCTACTTATTTCCTATAGAAAATAAATGAACACATTATATTGTATAATATCACTAAAATAAACTGTCCTTTTACAGACAGTTTATGAACGATTCTTTTATGAAATGGATACAACTAGCACCATATGGATTATCTATCAAAAACTAGTATGGGATTTTAGATTGTGGGATAGATTTCAACCAAAAAATGAGAAATTGAATAAAATCATATTTTGAACAACACGAAGTGAAAGTTAAGGATGGGAATTTTGGCAGTCTCGCAGGCCTCTATCAGCAGCTATTCAACATACTAGGGATATGTAACTAATTATATGCTGCTCAGAATATACTAATAACATGTCTATAGTTATTAGTCATAAGTAAAAATTAACCAATTAGCAGTAAGTAGCCCCAGGAGGCCACATTTTAAGGTTTACTTTGAACAGTCATCAACACTGGCTCACGGGCAACAAAGGTTTCCTTTATTTTTATGTCTAGGGTACATACAATGCAATCAGGAGTTAAGGGACCTCTATGTCCTGCTTCCCAATGGTTTATTCTACCTTACGATGGGAAAAACTACCCCAGGAAACTTGGGTCTGTCATTCCCCTTTAACTTTTTGGGATGTTTCAATCTTCACTCACGAAATGTGGCAGGTCAGATAGGCTACAGAGCGTCAATCACTCAAACATTTGTTGTACACCTCCTACGTGTAAAGCAACAGTGGTGGTTCTTGTGCACGTGAAGTTGTTGAAAATGGGAGTCTGCTGTCAAATGCCTTAGAACTACAAAATGTGACCGACATAGTCAGTCTTTATAGGGCTTCTCTCACACTGCATGATATTATCCTACTGTCGAATATTTTTTGAGAACCAGGGACGTAAACAAGTTTATTGAAATATATTCCCCAAACGTAAGTGATGGATATCTAAGAGAAAATAAGAACCTTTCAAAGTAAACTGGAAACCATTATCCACCGCATTAGCAATCACTCCAAAGGAAAATGGAATTGGATTGAGATGCTGCCTTTTGATTCTCCGAATGACTATAACCGATGAGAAATTTCCGAGCCATTCCTTTAAGAACATTAAAGTTGAAGTAAGTGGTCATTTCTAGCTTAGCGCGAGATAGAAAAAAAAAAAAGCCTCACACTTCCTTTTGTAGGTTTTACTTCCTTTTCAGACCATTGTTCCACTATTTTCATGAATATCTTGCTATTAAAAAACTGCTAAAGATTAGCTACCTTCCTGGGCATGGGTGACACTTGGGTTTTTTCTGTACATCTTCACCTACAGGAAAATCAACGATCCATAATATGGTCCTATTTCTACCTAAATACAATATAAATTGAAAATCATTATAAACAGAAAAAAAAGGTGAGCCTTTAACACTGCTCTCATGTATACCCTAAACCAGTGGTCTCAACTAGGGCAATTTTGACCACAGGGGACATCTGGCAACATCTGGAGACACTCTGGGTCTCACAACTGGGAAAGTGGGGCTATTTCACCATCTAGTGAGCAGAGGCCAGGAATGCTGTTAAGCACCCTACAACATCAGGACATTCTTCTACAACAAAGAAGTATCTGGCTCAAAATGCCAATAGTGTGGAGGATGAGAACACCAACTCTAGAGAGATATTGCCAATTCACCATTGGGTAACATATTTTTCCCCCAAATTGAAACAAGACACATGCTCCCTTGTAACTTAAGTTAAGCCAATTCCCAAGTATGGATGTAGTTACCACAAATTCAAATTTTATAGAAAAGTTTAGCTAGACTAACAAGAAAAAAAAAAGAGAGGACTCAAATAAAATCAGAAATGAAAGAGGAGACATCACAACTGATACCACAGATACAAAGGATCAAAAGAGACTACTATGAACACTTATATGGCAACAGATTTGACAACCTAAAAGAAATGGATAAATTCCCAGAAACATGCAACCTACCAAGACTGAACCATAAAGAAACAGAAAATCTGAACAGACTACATTACTAGTAAGGAGAGTGAATCAGTAATCAAAAACCTCCCAACAGGGCTCCCCCTGGTGGCGCAGTGGTTGAGAGTCCGCCTGCCGATGCAGGGGACACGGGTTCGTGCCCCGGTCCAGGAAGATCCCACATGCCGTGGAGCGGCTGGGCCCGTGAGCCATGGCCGCTGAGCCTGCGCGTCCGGAGCCTGTGCTCCGCAACGGGAGAGACCACAGCAGTGAGAGGCCCGCGTACCGCAAAAAAAAAAAAAAAAAAAAGTCGAAAGAAAAAAACTTACAAGATGAGTGAACAGCCAGCTGACCTACTTAAAAATGATTTCACCAATATGACTAGATGCTTATTAGTTGAAGAACCTAAAATTCCCCCACTTCTTCCATTTTTTTTGTCCTGTATAGAACTCCTTAGTCACCTAAAAATATTCCCATCTAACTTTTGAATTATAGTAAAATGTATCTATTTCTTAGGAGATGAATTTTAATCATTTGCGGAAACCCCATCTACTTTTGTTCAGTTGATGCAATCATGACTTACTGAGCACCTACTATGTATCAGGTGCTACTCCTGGCACTTAGGAAATATCAAGAACTAAAATAGATCTCAACCCCTGCTCTCAAGGAGCTTATACTCCAGGTGAGCAAGCAGACAATAAACACACAAATTATCTATATTTTTAAATATGAAAAGTGTTAGAGAAAAAAAGAAAGGTAGGTAAGGGAGATAGAGAGTGTGGGAAGAGGTGGGGAAAGGCATGCTGCGGTATAAACAGGGTAGCCAAGGTACCTACGAGAAGGTGAGATCTGAGCCACACTGGAGGGAGAAAAGGGCACTGACTAAGCAGTTAACTGAAGTAAGATGCAGAGAGAACAGCTGAAGCCAACTCCCCAAGAGCATGCTTCACAAGTTCAAGGAACAGCAAAGAGTGAATTGGTAGAGGGGAGGGGAGCCTAATAGAGAGATGATCAGAAAATTTACGGACCTATCATGTAAGGCCTTACAAGGGCTTTGGCTTTTACTCCCAGACGACCTGCTGCAATGCTCTGAGCAGAGATGACATCATCTTACTTTTACCAGGTTCATTCTGGCTGCTATATTGAGAATAGCCTGGAAGAAGGCAAGGGTGGAAGTAGGGAGGCCTGTGAGAGAGTTGATGGTGATTCAGAACAGGGTGAGGCAGGGATTGAATTCTGGATATATTATGAAGGCAGAGCCATCAATCAATACTTTCTTTAAAAATACTGGTTATTTTACAGTTGTCCATAGGCAGCAGGTAGCAGACAAAATTTAATGTGGCTAAAATGAGAATAACGATTACTCATAAAGTCAGCATTATTTGTAATGAGATTATCATTGAGATTATCGTATTCTAGTAGGATCATCATTTAAGGTACATTATTTTAAATTATTTTCTTAAAGCTTAGAGACACACCCTAGTCTACAATACAACTGCTTTAAGTAGAAGTAGCTACTTATTGTTTATTTATCTGAGGGTCAAAGGAGGGGAGGACATAGTAATTACCTTTCATACTACAGTAGGAACTGGAATAAGAATGTAAATTTCTCAGTTTTCTGTTCAGTGTTCTTCTTCCTGAAGTAGCTTTTTATGTATAAGACTATTCTTGGGATGCCCTGTGTTCTATGTAATAATGTTCTATTTGGTTGTTATAGGTTCATTCTTATGCTCACGTACCTTATTGATTTGATGATGCAGGCTTTGCAGAACCTGTGGCCGCATGGTGTTTGCACTGCTTCCCGTAATGCCATCAAGCAGATGGGGCATTCATACTTGCTTTCCAGGGGTGGGTCAAATTCCACGTCATATCCCTGGATCTCTTCCATAAAAGAGCTGGAAAGATTCACTGTGCTGGCAGTTCCACTCACACTGTCATCTTTTGCTGCAGCACCACAGGAGCTGGCGGCCATGGCAGCACAGCAGTCGCTCTCAGACTGGCTGGATCCACAGCTGTTTTCCCAGTGTAGCAGACTCATAGTAAGGTGATTATCGACTGCTCTGAAGAAATAGCAAGACAAAAAATGCCTTCACATACACACATACATACACACATACACACACACACACACACACACACGTATCATAGCTATCTATGCAAGCCACCTTTTAGTTGATAAACATTAGCTCTGTTAATATTATTTACAGAAAACTTTCAAAGTTTTTTCAGCTTTGCTTCATGACTACTATTTTACAAGTTAAGGAGTTCATGATCTAGTAGGATGGATGGAATATAAGGTTAAAAGAAGAAACATACCTCAACTGTAATAATTAGCATAATTATCTGTTTAAATGTCTGTTTTCTATGACTGCAGTTTCAAGAATGTTCATTTCCTCAGTACTCAGCACGAGCTTTCACCTAACAGGTGCTCATTAGGCAGCTGCTGAAGAACTTAATTATGCTGCTGAACTTCCTTCAAGTATCCAGAGCTGAAGAGAACAGCTCGACCAGCAGGCAGTGTGAGGACGAACAATGCACAAAGGATCAGATGACCATGAGAAACTATTAGTTATGTGATTTTGGGCAACTAACCATTTGGATCTCAGTTTCTTCTTCTACATCTAAAACTCTATTGACTACAGTTGAGCCCTGAACAAGGCAGGTGTTAGGGAGGCCGACACCCGAGCAATAGAAAATCCGACTTGGCCCTCTGTTCCCAAAGTTCCACATCCTCGGAGTCAATAACCACAGATCCTTTACTGAAAAAAATTTGCATTTAAGTGGACCTGTGTAGTTCAAACCTGTGTTGTTCAAGGGGTCAACTGTACCTCCAAATGTTCAGTGTGGCAATTTCTATTACACAGAAAGAACGGAATTGAAAAAGTATATCTGTATGTCCTCGTGCCTTCAGTCATGTCAAGTGACTATGTTTCATTACTAATGACTGGAAAAACAAGTGAGGTTTTGTTTGCCTATGGAAAACTATTGCTTTCATGGTAGGTGGGATGCTTTCAAATTCTAAACCATTACCAGAATTTACAAGTGAGAAGCTAAGGTCTAAAAGCAGTTCACAGCCTAATTAACCAGGTCTCTCTTGTAGGTAATTACATGTATAGAAAATTCCCACTATGTACCAGATATACAGTTGACCCTTGAACACAGGGGTTGGGGTGCCGACACCCACGCAGTCAAAAATCCACATATAACGTTACAGCTTGCCCTCTGTGTCTGTGGTTCTATATCCACTGATTCAACCAACCTCTGATAATGTAGTGCTGTAGTATTTATTGGAAAAAATCCATGTATAAGTGGACTCATGCAGTTCAAACCTATGTTGTTCAAGCGTCAACCAGAGTTCTAGAAAACAGAATGTAAGCCTCCAGCCAATATGGTAGACAAGGTATCCCCCGCCTGTCTCATTCTTATATAAAAATCCTGGCTGCCACCATGTCAAATAGTGGGTTAAGACAGTAATCCTCTATTTTTTACCACTATAGATACCTTTTTCTTCTTCTCAAAAAGATTTTGAGTAGCATTTGATGACCACCTACAAAGGATGAAGCACTGTTCTGGCTGGAGAGGCAATATCATGAAGTGGTGAAGAGCTTAGATGCTGGAATCGGATGATCTGGGTTTAACTCTTGTCTCCATCATTTGGTGTATGACCTGGGCAAACTATATAACCTTTCTGTGCTTCAGTTTCCTCATCTGTAAATGGGGGTAACAAAAGAATCCACCTCAGAATTACCGAGAGGATTAAATGTGTTAATATGTGCAAAGCACTTAGAACTGTGCCTGGAAGTAAAAATGAGTTGTTATTATGTGTACCTCTATAGAGTTATTTTATTTAACAATTTTATTGCCCCCCCTCCCCGGTTATCAAAGTGGAAACTCTGAAGCTTTAAAAGGCTAAGTAACTTGCCAAGGATTACCCAACTAATAAGAAACAGAGTTAGAATCAGAACCCAAGACTACTTCACCCAGAGCCTGTGCAATTTGTACTATCCTATGTTTGTCTATGTTTTGATAACTTTGTCTATAAAGCTGAATTTAAAATTTCTTTCCATTTATTTTTATTACACTAGACTAAGATGCTGACCACAGCTTCTGTTAAACATGAGCTGTCCAGTGTTATCAGGTTGGGTTGACAGAATTCCAAAAAATCAGTAAAGAAAAACTCATGTTTTGTTCTACTTTTTTAGTTTCGATAATATTTTTGAAAAGTTAAAAACAGTTTGCAAAGCCTTGTTATAACTAATGCAGAATCCCGTGGAAGACTCAGTACAAGTTGATAAGGAGGAAGGGATGGCAAGATAATGGCAAAGAGCAGAACTAGTTATTACGCCTGTGCTCCAGGATGGGGTTATAAGGCCCCTGTTATACCCTCCAAATCTGTTGCTAGATAACACTGTAATGCTATACTAGGGTTTATATCCTTTGTTATTTTTCTTCCCATATACATTTTTGTGTTCAATTACTACCTTAGTTAAATTTCTTAGAAGTAGAATTATTAGGTCAAAAAGTATATAACTTTTTATAGTTTCTGATAGATGCTGGTTATCCAATATGATATGTTTTGATATCCAATATCAAAGGCTTTATAATTCCCACTCCCAAAAGCAGAGTAAGTATGAGAACACATTTTATATACCTTTGATAATTCCAGGTATAGTTACCTTTTTTTTTTTTTTTAACATCTTTATTGGGGTATAATTGGTTTACAATGGTGTGTTAGTTTCTGCGTTATAACAAAGTGAATCAGTCATACATAAACATATGTTCCCATATGTCTTCCCTCTTGCGTCTCCCTCCCTCCCACCCCTCCAGGCTGTCACAAAGCACCGAGCCAATATCCCTGTGCCATGCGGCTGCTTCCCACTAGCTATCTACCTTACTACGTTTGTTAGTGTGTATATGCCCATGACTCTCTTTCGCCCTGTCACAGCTCACCCTTCCCCCTCCCCATAACCTCAAGTCCGTTCTCTAGGAGGTCTGCGTCTTTATTCCTTCTTTACCCCTAGGTTCTTCATGACATTTTTTTTCTTAAATTCCATATATATGTGTTAGCATACGGTATTTGTCTTACAGTTACCTTTTGAAACTTTAACCATTTTTTTTAAAGTAAAATCACTTTTGAGAAATTAATATTCGTTTGGTTGTACAGCATATATCAAAATGCTAGCCAGGAGACAAAAGCAAAAGTCCCTGAGCTAAGTCTACCTTTTCTGCCCAAATGTCCAGTTAAAATTCAGTTTATTGGATAGTCGATAAACTGCCCTCTTGCTATCCAGTCCAAAAGACTTGCAGGTCTTTAGATTTAGAGACCTTTTATAGCAAATGTGTTACTAAGAAAATCTGTCCAATCAGTCACAATTCCTTAAAAGGAACTCCACTGCAGGAATGCAGTGTCAAGACATGAAAGTGAGCACTCTTAAAAATATAGATGCCATTATTTTTCATGCTTTAAGTAATACAGAAGCTTTTCATCTTTCAAATAAACTTTTTTAGGTAGTCACTCTGTCTACAGTATGTAGTCCCATGTAACTATACTACAAAGGGAAAATTAAGCTAAAGCAGTATTCTGAGTGCCATTCAATATTTTTAGGTTTACTCTTTCTTTTTGGCAAGTTAAAACGTTTTTTCCTTTTACTTTTAGGGACTGTGATGACTTAATTGAAAATCACTTTCTTAACTACAGTGAGTAACTATTTTAATTAACACCAAGAAAAAACCCAAAAAGTGCTTAGAGTCAGCTATAGAAGATGGTCTGGGGGGGTTCCCTGGTGGCGCAGTGGCTGAGAATCCACCTGCCAATGCAGGGGACACAGGTTCGAGCGCTGGTCGGGGAAGATCCCACATGCTGTGGAGCAACTAAGCCCATGGGCCACAACTACTGAGCCTGCACTCTAGAGCCCACAAGCCACAACTATTTAGCCCGCGAGTCACAATTACTGTAGCCTGCGCACCTAGAGCCTGTGCTCAGCAACAAGAGAAGCCACCGCAATGAGAAGCCCGTGCACTGCAATGAACAGTAACCCGCACTGGCTGCAACTAGAGAAAGTCCTCGTGCAGCAACGAAAGACCCAACACAGCCAAAAATAAATAAGTAAATAATTTTTTAAAAAAAGAAGATGATGATGATCTGGCAACCATGTAGAAAATACTATGCTTTATTAGTATTTTTTTTTTTAACCTCATATGGTGCCTTAGGTATCCACTTCATGAGATGCTACAGAGGTACGCTTGGCTTTACATAAGCTAAAATAGATAAGAGTAAACAGATATTCTTACCTTCAAAGATTTCTTTGGCCTCTTTTCTATTCTAACATTCAGAATTCATGTGGCTTTCTATATGAATTAATGGAAGAGACAGCACAAAGGTTAAATGGTTCCTTAGTACGTTAAGAGCTTCATGACTGTAATTCCCTCTTTGTAATTGTGAATCTAGTACAGTAAGCACTGAGTTAATTAAATATTGTGGGATGTAACCACTGCCAACTTATTTTGACTGCAAAATGAATATCAAAAATAGCCTTATAAGAAATCATGGCTTAAATTCACCTATTAGTATGGGGTTATATATTATGCTCCAAAGAGTATACTGTTAAGTATCTTGTGGGAAGGGGAGTAGAGCGATACACAAAACTTTGTTCCTTTAAGATCAACAGATGCTAATGAGAGAAACGTACCAAGCTAAAACATCAGTAAGTTATGTCTTGAACTGGTCAATTTTAAGTTTTAAAGTAAAACCACATAATACAAAACACTGAGAAATTACCTTTAATTTGCTACTAGCTTTAGAAACAAGAACTATTTACCAAATCCTTAAGATCTATTCTTAAAATTGCAAAGACCTGCAAAAGGGCTGCAATGGCGAAGGTGCTGCAAAAGAGTCAACTACTATGCCTTATTTTTGAACATAAATTTGAGGGGACATTCCCTTTCCTAGGGATGATTTGTTCTCCTCCAGGAGGCAAAGATTTGAACTTCTTTCAAAATCTAAGTGGCCAAAAATTTATCAGCATCACGTATCCAAATTTGTCACAGAAAAGACTTCAAGTTACAATTCTTAAATACTGTGATGTATATAGTGCGTGCAGGTTGAAACTCTGATCATCACATGGGCAACAAGGGCCTGAGACACATTCCTTCCTTGAATCACAAAAAAAGCCACAGCGTCCTCACCCCACTCCCATATCAACATCAGAAAAGCCCCTTCTCCCTTCCCGAGTAATCACAAGGGAATGGATAAAATACCAGTGGCCAGGTTCACAAGGCCAACACTCAGAATTTCAAGTTTTTCTTGTTTCTATGCCTGTGTAGCAAGACATTTAGTGATTTACACTCCCGAGAAACCAGAGAAAACACGCAAATACTATACGTTGTATGAAGCTCCTAAAATTTGTAGGTGCTTTCTGTTCACATTCAAGACAGTCCTAACTCAGCTGGAGTTCCCCTGAAGCCAAATACTAGGAACAGCTTTATCAACCCAGCGTCTGGAACAATCGCTAGAACTGCCGCGTGCAAGGGCGGGGTAGGAACATTCGTGTCAGCTGAACCTTTTCTTTCAAAAAAAAAAAACACTTGCTGCCTGGGACGTCTATTTGAGTTCAACAGGGAACCCAAAAATAGCTCTCCCATGACAGTGACAGAGGGAGTCGCTGAGAACCTAAAAGGGATTTTTTTAAGCCGGTACCATCCGAGCAATAGGAAAATACAGGAGGCGATTTCCTTTTCTGGGAAGGGGAATGCGCGGGGTGGGGGAAGTCGGGCCGAGAAAGTTGGCGCGAGATTCCAGCTGGGGGATGGAGTGAGCCGGGGAGGTGGTCCCCACCGGCCGGCGGAGCAGAGGTGAGGGGACAGGGGGCGGCGTCTCCAACCTGTGGGAACCCAGGGGAGAGGAGGCGGCGTCCCCAACCCGTGGGAAGCTAGGGGCCAGGGGCGGCGTCCCTAAGTGAGAAACAGGAGAGGAGGAGGCATCCCAGCCCGTGGGGAGAGAGGCCGCCACCGCCGGGAGCCGTCAGAAGGAGACTCACCACTCCGGTCCGCTGGGCCGCCGACTACGCCCGGCCGCAGGACTCCACTCAGCCAAGGTGCCAGGAGAGAAAGGCACCGCACTCCAAGCCGAGGGTGCCAGGACGCCAATCTCTTGACCCGAAGGCCGCCGTTACTGAATCCCCCGGAAGCCCGAGCCCCATCCGCGGATGCCCCTACTTCCGCCTTCTCCGCTCGCCCGGGCGAGCGAGGGGCGGGGAGCGGGCAGGGGAGGAGACAGAGCGGCCCAGCCGGGCGTGGGCGTCCCCTGGCGGCGGTCCTCCACAGGCGCGCGCTGCGGTGCCGGCGCGGGCAGGTCCAGCCGTCAATCTAGAGCTCTCCCGCTGCGTTTCCGCCTCGCTTGGGTGCGAATCCCACCTAGGAATTCCTTACCCTGCAATCCTGAAGTGAGATCTGTCCCGGAGTAACTGTGATCTAGTGAGCAGCAGCAACAGCAGTAATCCCAAACTGTGTTTTTATAGTTTCCCAATCCAAGCAGGAGAAAAACCCCAACTCGGCGAGATTACTTGACCTTCGAAAAGCCTTCACTCCTTCCCTAACTCCACCCTCCTTGACAAGGAAGTTTACATGATATGTAGAGCCCTCTCTTATCACCTGGTCCTTCCCCTTCAACAAGTCCAAGGGAGTCAAACCCATATATTTAAATATTTCTTTGAAACTGCTGCCAAACACATCATCTCTTTTTCGGTCAACGTCACAAGAAAGCTATTTTTAATTCCCTGTTTAACTGCATGCAAACCTCTAAGGAATGTAACAAGAAGATGCGTGAAAGATTTTGGCTCACCTCTGCAAATCTGACTCATCCTTCACCTCTTGGGGGAGGTATTACAGGGTGTTGGGTTTCATATGTACATGTCCTGAAACCAGAGTGCTTCATTCCAATCTAGTTTTTCCCCTTTATAAATTATTTGACTTTAAATAATTTACTTAATCTGACTTCAATTTTTTCATCTCATTAAAATAAGGATAATGATAGTACCTACCTCATTGGTAGCATTGTTGGAAGGGAAACATAAGTTAGTACGTGTTAATAAATTATTTAAAACTAGGACATAGTATGTGCTCAATAAATGTTAACAATACTGTATTTCCTGCTTTCTGGCTGCTGATATTCATAAAAAATACTTATGTTTTTAAGATAAGAAACTGTCACAAGTTTTCAAACTCACTCTGCCACCCCTCTTTTTAAAAAGTACTTTGAAATAGTTAAGACATAAAAAGAATTATACACACATCTGTGTGCTCACCACCCAGCTCAATAAATAAAACATTGCCGGTAGAATTGCCAGCTCTTGTGCATCCCTCCCCACTGATTCCCAGGGCCCTGTAAAAATAAATCCCCTATGTGATGGTGAAGAGATCATGATATAAAACTGAGAGATGGCGAAAAAGAAGAACAAGGGAGGTAGACTTTCCTCCACGTATTAATATGTGCTCTGGGGCAAGTTTTGTAACTTCTACGAACTTCAGTTTCCTAAACCATAAACTAGGGGATAATATTTACCTTCCAGGCTGTTGTCAGCATCAACTAATAAAAATGTACGTGAGAGAACCCAGCACTGGGCTTTCAGAAAGATTAGGTGTTGTGCGTGTATTTCACGATTTTCACACGTGTCCTTGAGGGGCTTCCTCCTACTTCTACAGATTCTATTCATTCTTCCCTGTTTATACTGGTAGAGAGTGTTGGCGCTCACCCATGCCCTGGGCACACAGGAGACTTACACTGTCCCCTTGCAGTCAGACAGTGCCATATGACTAGTTCTGACCCACAGGCTGTTCAGGGCAAGGGAGGTGTGTCATTTTAAGACCAAAGTATTTGATTTTCATTGAAAGACCCACTTCCCCAGGTGACAACCATGGGGCAGCTGTAAGAGGCTGGATCGCTAAATTGCTGTATGGAGGGCAGTTGCCTTGGAAAGTCAATCCACCTTCATTGGACTTCTATGAGCAGGAAACAGATCTCTGTTGTTTCGAGCCATTGAGATGTTAGGGCTGTCTTTTCTGCCGCACAACCCAGCCTATCCTATGCAAATTCCTCCTTAAAGTCTCCTCTGATCATTCACACCCCTACTGGACTAGGAATCAGAAAACAAAATTTTCCTCTTGGCTCTGCCTCTTATTAAAATTGGACCTGGTCAAGTATCCTCATCTGTAAAGTTGGAATAAAATCCATCCTGTCTCCTTCTCAGAGACTTTATTAGTTCAAATGAGATACATGTGAAAACTCTTTGTAAACTAGGAAGCTCTATACAGGTGGCAGGAACTGAGTATTCTGATCAGTAGGGTTATCTGATATGTACAGCAACCACAGTACCTAGGTTTCCTGAAGTGTCACTAATTTAAAATATTTTCCAGTGTCCTATATAAGTATTCAAAGTGGGCAAAAATATCATCATGGTATCATTTCTGGGTTGCTGTTTTTCACACTCTATTTGAAAACTGAAATAAGATTCACCTTGTAGGCTGTCCCAGGTAGGAGTGGGAGGGTGAGAGATTTTCCCCCATTTAGAAAAAGGATGTCTCTCTAAGTTTTAAATGATAAAAGTAGAACACAGTTCTTTAATTCAAACCATATTTACTGAACAACCATCATGTATGTGTGGCAGTCAGCCTTGAAGGTGCTATTTATGCCCATATGTGATCTCCTTGCACGATGAATAGGGTACAACCAATAGGATGCTGTGAAAATGACAGAATGTGACTTCCTAGGCTAGGTTGTCTCCAGCGTTCCAAAGGAACCAAATAAAGAATTCATAGCTGGCAAGGGAGAATTTGTTCGTGAACAAGGACAGATTCAGTAAGAAATATTCTAAGTGATTCCATCTTATTTTATTTAGGTAACAAACTCAAAACAAGTCTCAGTGCTCTATCATTTCTCTCTCTCCTTTCCTTCCTTCCTTCCTTTCTTTCTTTCACATCCATCCATTTGTCTATCTACCCATCTATGTGGATATCTGATATGTCTATTTTAGAGTTAAAATTCATAAATGAGATGGTTTTCATGATGCATATTATTAGATTTATTTTGATTGAAAACTGATGGAGAGTGAATCTGATTGGTTGAAATGGTTTGTCAATAAGGACTAGCTTTATTAATTCGGTTGTGTAGTAGATTTCCTCCATAAATGGAATGAGACTTGAATGAGCAAAATGTGCAGAGTTTTGTCAAAAAATATGTACAGACTTGTAAAATATACAGTATGGTAGAATTACATCTTTCGCAATTATTTAAACTTAACATAAAAAAATTTACATATGCCAACCTAAGAGCATGCAATGGAATATATCATCTTACAAAAGCACTTTAGAGTCAGAAACTTTCTCATACCAGAAGCAGGAAGAGCAAGAAAGTAAATATGTTATAACCTTGGATAAAATTACAGACCAAGGAAGACTGAGTCAGTCAGAGGAGGCATTAGATATGATGGAACCTAGAAAAGGTCAAAGAGATCCAGTCGGGCATCTCCCATGTACATTCAGTTTGGGGGAGGAAGTGGCCTGAATCAAAATCTCCCTTTAGCTATCCATGTTCAAAGGCAGGAGTTTTGGAGATGTCCTGATGTCATTAATCGTTGAGTTGCAAAAGCAATTTACCTATTGAATGATTTCATGGTCACTAACAGTAGCTAAGTGAAGCCAGAGGAGCACAGGAAGGAAGCTTACCCAACAGAGGGTTCCGGTCTTGGAATATACTCCGAGTACAATAAGTTTCAGGGTAGCCTCCTTCACCGTTTCTGCCTCTCTCCTCCCACCCCACTCCAACAAAATAAGGGAAAGTTCTCAGAGCAGAGGAGGGCATGGGTGATGAGAAATGAAGGAGATGGGCAATAAAGGAAGATGAGTGAGGTGTGTGGACATGTGGTTGTGTATGGGGAGGCTCCTAGGGAGACTGCAGACACTAATAACAGGATTTGGGACTATGCCCTTGGCTCATTTCACTGTCTAGGTTGAGAGCAGACTCTGAGCCACTAGGAGGCAGAAGCTTAGTTTTGGAACCTACCTTGGAATCTGTGGAATTTCCCAATATTGTCCACGGCAGAGTTTTCTTTGGTAAAGCCTACCCACTGGCAAGGAGTGAAAGTACTCACCATTCCTCTCCACCCTCTTCCCAAATCCCAAGCAAGAACCTAGACTTTTTGTGGCCATACTCATTTTTCCTGCTCTTGGAGAAAGGAGATCTTTTTCCGCCCTTCATTTGGGTAAATGAGGAGGGTGGGGACATTTCCACTGCACTGCAGCTAGATTTTCCTAGCGAGTTTCACTAGAGATCATCAAGCAACATTGAGATGGTAAGTGGACCCAATTTACTGCTTTCCTTGGGGGAAAGAATGTACCAGCCATAGAATATAAGAATCTGATCTATTCATATATTTTTAATGAAAACAAATTGCTTTTGTCTGATTTGTAGATTTGTCTCCTGCGAGCTGAGTTAGTGTATAGGCACACTGGGTGGAAAAAAAATCAGCTTTTGAACTTACAGAGCTAAGGGTCAGAGTATTTCACCAAGGTAAACAATACCTTATGATTTCTCTTGGTACAGTCTCTTCTAAACACTTTAAAAAGCATTACTATGGGGCTTCCCTGGTGGCGCAGTGGTTGAGAGTCCACCTGCCGATGCAGGGGACACGGGTTTGTGCCCGGGTCTGGGAAGATTCCACATGCAGCGGAGCGGCTGGGCCCTGAGCCATGGCCGCTGAGCCTGCACGTCCGGAGCCTGTGCTCCGCAACGGGAGAGGCCACAACAGTGAGAGGCCCGTGTACTGAAAAAAAAAAAGCATTACTATGAAGAAAAATCATCCAAAACATGAAATAAAGTAAGAGGAAGGCAACAGTGACATTGTTTAACATGTTTGCCTAATAATTAATTATCTATGTCTGAGAATTCTCCTGTTTGACTTTGCTATTTTACTATTTGATTAGAGACCAGACACTGAGGTTATACATTAACTCATAGATTTCCTTCCAGTAAAAAAAACACACACCCTGAGGTTAATGCACTATGGGATATTAACTAATTTGTATGGGCTGGTAAATTTCAGCATTCCTTTGACTGACTTTAATATCTGTTTCTCCAAACTTCCTTTGGACCAGCTTTATCATCTTACTAATTCTCTCATTAATTAATGGGCTGAATAAAATCTTAGAATGTGTTCATTCTCGATTTCTGTGGCAGTCTTGTGTTGAAGTTTTTGAAAATTGTACTTTATCATTACAACATTCCTGCTTAACTCTGCTTCTATACAACATCTGCATATTGAATGAATTTCTCAGTCAGATTTTTGCATGGTTGATGTTTGAATGGAAGAACGTTAAACCTTTCAGGACATTAGGATCCTTAAAAAACAAAACAAAACAAAAACCTTAATCATGGCACTGGAACACAAAATCAAAAATGTATAGTTAAGCGTTTGGCTTATTTATATTTAGAAACAATAGAGGATTACCATTCAGGAAGGCTCTTGAGTTAAAAAGTCTCGTGTGTGAGTTCCTGCACGTTGCCAGGTGTAGAAACTCTCACAGAGGCA